AAACGACATCAAAGATGGCCGCGAAAACGCTCTCACGTGACGTGTGTTCAAAACAATCACTAATCCCGAGCAGTTGGTGTGTTAGAATATAAGTGGAATATGACTGTTTACGAGAATGGTTAGTCATACATGTGACTGAACTTATTGCTTTGTGAGCAGAAGCAGATTTCAGATTTACTCAGTCAGTTCTGGTCGCCATATTTGTAACGTGCAAGGGGCACAAAATGGGCGTTCCCATATTAAGCTGAATGAATAATTAAACTTCGCGGCGTAAAACACTTCGACAGATAACTGAAGCACGGAATACCGTACAGATCCGAGATTCGGAAAGGAAAATTTGGAAATATTGGCTTCTTTTGCTCAATGGCTTAAATCTCACTCTTACGTGGTGGCATGGATAGACGGCGGCAATAATCAATTTCAAAGCGGTATTTGATTTGGTGTTCTGAGATGTTAATTTCGTAATTAAAGGAACAATGATATGCATTTTCGCGTTGACAAAAACGTCATTGTTATTCTATTATTGTAAGACGAAGTCCAATGGCAGCGAACAGTATTTCCTCGCTAAAATTTGAGTAGTTTTTCAATCGCCAGAACCTCGTGTGTTCTCTCACCAGGCTTAATTTGATACGTGAACACTTTGCAGGATGTATTGACTGAAGGAGTTTGGTCACGGTTTGCGCATCTTAAAAAGTTTAGCCTAAATTTTTCAAGTTCGTCGTTTGTAATCCGTGTTAATATTCTCCATCCTTTACCATCCGTGTTCTTTTATGGTTTATCATCACCTCTTCGGTGTTTCTCTATCTTAATAAATTACTATTTTCAGGTTTCCTTCAATTAAAAGATAATTTTGTATATGGCTAAAATAATTTAAAATGCTGTGACCGAGCTTCTTTTAGGTCTTAGAAAGGCATTAAAATAGGCAGAAAGTTTCAGTTCTAAACGCCAATCAAACTCCCTTATCTAAAACAACAACAACAACAAAAACATGAATAATTGCAATGGCAGGAACAAACCCGTATTCTTATATCATTTAAAAATATTTATTCATTTACCTACGCCCAGAGTGAATATTCATTCAGTTTTTCGGATTGAACTAAGGCCCATAAAATATTCTTTTATTCATTCTTAGATCAGATTACTGAATATACTACATGAACTTCAGCTAAAATTTGACCATAAGTTGGACTATCAAATAGAACAAATCTCCTATCTTTCTTGTATGAACTTGTAGAACTGTATGGTGTCTGCATGGTGTCAAGCCTGGTTCAAACTAGCTACATAACGACATAAACACGATGACATTAAAGAAGGAAGTTATGTTTGGAGTGTGAACATCCTTAATACAGACATTATAGCAACACAACAGCATGAACATAACGAAATAAGGAAAGACGACTGATATTTTCCTTATGTCTCTATGTCGATGTTCACATTGCAACATAAGTTACTATGTCATTATCAGTGTCATTATGTCGTTATGTCTCTAGTGTGAACTAGCCATTACTTTGCGCACGTGCCTTACGCACGTGCCTTTTAACTAAGGCTTGTTGTTTTTATCATATTTTATGTTCCATCAACACGCAAAAACAAAATGGCTTTAACAAAATCTGAGCTAAGGGTATATTCTCAACATATTCTGAAATGTCGCCAATTTTAGCCTCAAAATTCTTCTTTAAAAAAAGATTGTGAGAAAGTGTGTTTTGGTGTGTACAAATTGCACTATTAGTTTGCTCGCGTGCAAGATTGTAAAATGACCGCGTAAGAAACACGTTAAAGAGAGGTTTAGCATAACAAATAAGCAAGTCGCCCAATAAACAACCAGTTAGGCGTGCTGTCCTTTGTCCTACGAATTGAGCCTGAAGGCATCTGTCAAATTTTTCAACTCATGTCAGTCATGTTTATGATGGAATAACTTTTTTATGCACGAACGCTATTTAGTCTATTTCCAGAACAGTTAATAGAGGGCCATGGTTATGGAATCCGACAAAGTTTCTTCGTTGAATGTTCTCGTTCGATTTTTGGCTTGATCGTGCTCAAGACAGTTGTTGTTTATTACTGCTTGAGGTACTAATCAATACAAACGTTTCGGTCTTCTAATCATGCACAGTGTATGAGCGTAAAACAAAACATTATTCACAATCGTGAACCTTCCAGCACAAATCTTGGCATGTTTGTTTTCTCCATGGATGATAGCTGGGCTTCATAACCAGTCCCCTTCGTTTACTATGATTTACAGAGGTTGGCCTTAACTCGGCTAACTGGAGAACCGAAAACCCCTTTTTTGGAAATTTCGCCATACATTATCGGTAGAAAATCTTAGGTGCAAAGTTACCTAAAGAATTTTTCAGATAAACAGTTAGGCGTGTCCTCCGTCCTCCGGATTAAATATACATGTATCTGTGACTTTTCAATGTGCGCAAATTACGTAACAGCTTTTTCACATAGGAACACTATTAACACAGGCTGAACCTGGACTGAGATTTTTGTCAAACTTTGCCTATTGATTGTTTATATTATAGGAACTTAAATTTTAAAATAAAAATGAGGGGTCCCCGTGTTCGTTTAGGAGCAACAGCACCTTGTTTATACCCAATAAATCCTTATAATAGCACCATGATTGTAGTCACGATTGCTTGCTAAATTCACATTTCCGACGATTGTTTGTTGTTCTACTCTGAGAATTGTTCCATATTTATTTTACATGGACAAATTTATTACTCAATTCAAAACAACAGAAAAAAATGAAATGTCACCGTACTCGTTTTCGAGAAAATGACGATTTACCTCTATAGCGAGGTCCAACCGTAAAGAAAAAGCCGTCATTTTTTAATGCGCGCGCGCCAATCACGCGCGAAATTATGCGCAGTAGGGATGTGCAATGCAGTACTGGGGAATGACCTGAACAGAGAGCACTTTCTATTACGTAGCGTGTTTATTACGTAATAGATTTTTTCACACGGAAACACCACTTAGTCTTTTTGCAGAGGCTAATCTTAACTCGGCTAACTAGAGTACCGGAGCTCTGTTTTCTGAAGGTTCCAAGTTCTAAACTTTACAGTATTAAACTCCATGCAACCTCTTACATTTTCGTGTTTACTTCTTAAGAGTGCTCACATCTACAGTAAAACGTGAGATGAAATGCGACTTGATACTAACGGCGGGTCTTCTCATCTTACATTCTTCTGTCAACAACAAATGCAGTAAAAAAATAGTCTTTTCAGAACAAACATTTTGCTATTTGCGTCACTGCTGGCGGCAATTAAACTCACCCAATCAAAAATGAGGACTTCAGTTGTAAACAACTGTAATTAGGGTATTGTAATTCAAAATGATAATTTAGACACGCAAGTTTATTAATGCGGTATAAAAGCTGAGTTAATACAATTCTCCGCATTTTCAGAGCAGTCCTCTAGGTTAGGCGACTAAAACGAGAAGCCCGTGCAAGGTAAGTCTATACCCAGCTAAAATAACAATCTCAAGTGTCTCAATCTCAATCTCAAGTGTCCTGATTAAGCGAAAGCTAGGAACTTTGACACTTAAATTAAGTTGTTACCCATTGACTTTTTTCAACATGGGTTTTTCGTGTTTTCGAGACACAACTTAGTCAACGGGTTTAAACGAAAAGGAATAGAACAAGTATGGAAAGACTTGCATACCCTAGTTACCTAATAGCTGATTCACCCAAGATTATTACTCAGCAAGGACAATTATATGTTATTGTCTTCTTCTTCATTTTTGTTTTTGTTTTTGTTTTGTTTTTTTATTTCTTGTCCGGCTGTTACAGCAAAATTTTTTTTACGATGGATCCGCCACTTGTTCACTATTTGCTCAGGCCCAACAAACGTAACGACTGCTAAATCGGGAAATAACGTGACCATGAATGTCCTTCTTTTAGTCTTCTCAGAAATTTAATTGACCAATTGTATCTGCATGTTCCTCCAAAACCTCGAAAAAAACAAACGGGAAGACGTGGCCATTTCATAGACGACAAACAACCTCTGCAAGTGCTGGACAAACAACCTCTGCAATCACCCAGTGAGATTGCGTCATATGTAATAGCTTTTTAACACAGGATTATCGAGTAATGATTATGTAATATATATTAGCTTTTTTCACAGCAATTAAGTGAAAGCTAACTAAATTCATGTGGTTAATTAACTAAAACTAACGATATTAGATAGGCCTATTCGTGCTCGCGAGCTATTACGTAATAGCTTGTTCACGCCAGAAAGCTATTTTAAGAAGATTACTCCAAAGCTGTTTACAGAAGACAAACCGGAACGTTTTAATCAATTTCAATTCCAACTGTAAATTGAAAGAACAACATTTAGAAACACCATAACAACTAATTTAAAATGTCAATTGTGGCACGATTTTTCGGCAATTTCGTACTTCTATGCATTTCTCCGCATTCTCCCGAAGGATTACTTTAAGCAGAACAGGCCTCACACACAAGTCTTGTACGTAATAACTAATTAACAGAGGAATAAAACAGCGAAGACTCATTCAAAGACAAACACGAAAGCATGCAAATAGTTCATCAATGTTCCCGTTTCGTTAAATGTAAGAAGATCTGTACCTTAAAGGTCTGGAAGTAGAGACCCCAAAATATTAGCAACCCAACGAAACAAACAATATCAAAGGTTGAAAGTTAAGAACTCATGTTCATCATTGACCTTATTAAAGGTCCTGCAGGACCCTTGCTTATTAAGTAGGTGCTGTCTTGCAAAGCTTTCAATTTCTGAGCTTTAAACATCAATTTCGTCAAAAATTATCAGTGATATGGGGGAAATCACGAAGTTGCATCAAGACTGTCTTTTAATGGCGGATCACCGTTGAGGACATATGTTACAAGGTCCTGCACAGAGAGCGATTTTCTGTCCGAATAAGTTCTGCTTGAGTAGCGTTACCAAGATTTAAAAACATATCACAACCTCTTTTGTGTCATAACGGAGGCAACTGTCACACTTTAAGAACAGTTTTATTTTTTGTTCGAATGAAAACTGGCATAGTTCGCATTAATCAAGAAAACCACTCGTGCTATGTATTTCTGCACTTTCACATCAACTGTAGACAAATTTCACGTCTTATTTGCTTTGGTAACCGTTCCGTTTTTTCTTTCTTGACCTGAAAGTCCTTTTAACTAAATTTACCCATAGAAAACATCTTATACTTTAGTATGTGATGGCTCAATTATGATTTGAAAATGGTGAATTAACAGACTCTATTTTTTCACTATTTCAGTTCTTAAAGATGTCTCAACAAGAAACCTGCATTTTCTCCTCGCATCCCGAAGCAAATTCCCTCTCATTTCAATGTTTCTTGGCTTTATCTAACCAAGAGAGTACCATTTTAAACTGCCTCGAGGGTCACATCTTTCCTCTCATTAACGAAGGAATTTGTGAGATTCTGGAACGTCGCGCAAACCACGAGCCATTTCGTGTTCTCAGTGTTGGAAGCGGAGAGGGTGAAAATGACATCAATATTCTGAAAGCCTTGAGTGACAGCAGTTGGCGCGCGGACGGAGAAGCCGTCTCAATGATCAACCGAGTCGTTGAACCACACGTGGGTAGGCTGGATAAATTCCGTTCAAAAACTGAGAATCTCCACGAACATTTTGAAACAGGAGCAAACATCGACTTTGAATGGATCCCCATGACATACCAAAAGTACAAGTCACAGAAAAAGGCAGATGACATCACGTTTGACCTGATTCATTTCACACACAGCATCTATTATGTCGGAGTAGAAGAAGCGCTAGTTCATTGTTACGAGAAAGAGCTTGGAAGAGAAGGCATCATCATATCAATCGCTCAAAGCGAAGACGACCCTATGCTGAAGTTCGCCCGCAAATTCCCCAATCAGCGGAGCCCTTCATTCCCAAGAAATAGAGATGTCGTTGCGGTGGCCGAACAGAGAGGATGGAAATATTTCGCTTGTCCAGGCGATTGCAACATCCTTGATATCACAGCCATTTTTGATAGCTCGTCAAGCGTGGGAAACTATCTGCTGGATTTCTTGACCAACCAAAAAGATGTGCGGCAGAACGAAGACAAGGAAACAGTAAAAAAGATCTTGAAGTTTTGGAAGCGGCAGTCGTATATCAACGAGGATGGAAGAAGAATTGTCGGAATAATGGATAATGCAGTGATCATTTTGAAAGGATTTGATCACATAGAAATATAATCGTACTGTACTGTGCAATCTAAAAACTATATATACTCAAAATATTTATGCCTGAAGTCAGTAGCAAACTGATAAGAACATTCAGTCGGGGCTTTATAGCTTAATGTTTACGACGTTTTTGTGCTTAGTTGGTAAATTCGGTATTTTACTCGATTTGGCATTGTTTGGACTTTTGAAGTGTTTAAAACTATTTATCGAAACCTACTTCGGTGTATAACAAGTACAGTGTAGAATCATTCTATAACCCGAAATAACAACTAAAATGTGACATGACACAAGCTAAATAGTCAGTTCGATTCATTTTAGCCGTGGCCATTTCTTCATTTATTTTTTCTCAACTATGTTAGCGAGACATCGACATATATTACTCCAATAAGAGCTGTCAAAGAATTAGGGCGCTAAAGAAACAAGTATTTTTCGGTCGTCATTAGAATATACGTTTTACTTCTTAGTCAGTACAAGTGATTTCTTCAAACAAAAGTACTTTTTCTTGCGTTTTACTGAAATTGTATCGCAATGGAACTTGGAAGCGATTCAAGTATGTTATTTTTATCTAAAGGATGTTTTAGCCGTATTCAATCAGAACTTAGCTTATTATTACGATCAAACGTGGTTTCTCATATTATCATAATTATTCATACACGTATCACCGTATTTACTATGCCATGGAGACATAAAAATATATTACTCTAACGAGAGCTGTCTAAGAACTAGGGAGCTAAAGATGTTATCGACCTTATGAACCTTCAAAAATTTATTAAGTTGCAGAATGGTTATGCTTAGGAGAATTTTTCTAATGATCCTTGTAAAACTGCCAAAGATCTAGGATGGTCTCATTCTATCCAAAGCGTGCCACTTGGAAAACGGATAACGGGGTGCATTTTTAATTTATTTTATTATTTTTTTCAATTTTTGTTCCGACTATTTCTCCAGAATTATGGCATATGTTATAGGTGTTATCCTAACCAAATGCAGCAAACATCGCCTTTCATGAATCTCTTTGTTTCATTACTGTTATAGAAATAAAATATTATGTTCCGAAGACATATTCAGTATATTTGTAATTTGACACTTTACTCCCAAGCTGCCTCTCTCCACGAGGTGTATAAAAAATGGGTACCGGCGAATTTAGTGTTCGGGAAAACCCCACCATGGACTAGTGTCCCTCTGGGGGTGAGGGGGGAGTAGAAATACGCCCAGTCGCTTCATGCTACAGAAACCAGGATAACCTTCGGTCTTATGGGCCACTTGGCTCGTATGTAGACTTCACTCGACACATAATCAACTCCTCCTTTAATATCAAATTTCAGCTGTGGATTTTTAACTATGGTTGATTTCGGGGAGAAATCAGCTGACAAACACAAGGAGCATATATTTTTTTACCTTCATACTAGATCCCAAATCTGCTTTCTTGAGCTGTCTTTCTTTTATCTCGTTGTAATGGTCAAGCTCTCACGAAGCTCTCACGGTTCAAATCTCGCTTAGTCCTGGCTCAATCGTTGAACTTAGAATTCTATTTTTGCTGGATTTTGAGCCATTGAATAATAATAA